CACCATGTTGGATGATATAACAAAAGACATGGCCACCATGTAGGATGATATAAGAAAGCGACATTAGCAAAAATGTTGGATGTGGCAAAATAAATGGCGCCATGTTGGTGGATATAACAATAAAACAAACATGGATGCCGCAACTTACCCCTGAGTGTACGATGCAGTGTTTCATGACAGCAACATGAAGGGGTGTGTCTCCATCTTTATCTTCCACATTGGCATCTGCTCGATGCTTAATCAAAAGTTCGATCATTTCTTTGTGACTCCTTGATACAGACAAAGCTAAAGCTGTCATGCCCTCATGGTTTCGCATATTGATGCTACAATGACCCTGAAAAAGAATATTATTGATAACACAATTATTAAAACCGATATTTGATTACAATTGAAGAAAGTTAAAAAGAGTAAATTAAAAAAGRAAAAAAACGAGGGGGAGAAATAAAGAAAAGAAAGCGCAAATCAAAGCAAGGCAAAGCAAACGAAAGTAGTTCTGAAACGAAAGCAAAGCAAACGAACGAAACGAGACGCAACGAAAGCAAAGCAAACGAACGAAACGAGACGCAACGAAAGCAAAGCAAACGAACCGAAAACAAAAGAAAACCAAGCAAAACACACAAAGGAAAGAAAAAAAGGACAAAGGAAAGAAAAAAAGGACAAAGGAAAGGAATAAAAGATTTACGACTTAAATTATATTTTTAATATTAGAAATAAAATGACATGATGAATGGACGGATGGACAGACAAAATTTACACAACAAATAATGTATTTGCACAGAAAAAAAGTTTWAAAACGTTCACGTGACCATGGTTTTAAGCACTTACTAGCATTATTGGAAAGAGTTCCACTTTAATTTTTTTTTATAATTAGTAATTTTTGTGGCTGCTGCTTCGTAGAGGCGAAGCCATTATGTCATCGAGTTGTGTAAGTAAATCCGTAACAATAGATAAACTTCGGAACCAATCACGGCTTAAATAATAAAGTCTCCCTCTTATCGAAGATTAAGCGATGCGACATCGAAGAGATGATGACAAATGGAACCTCGTAGTTGTACTTGGTCGATAGTACGGTGTCTCGGTGTAGATTGTTTAAGACAAGTAAGCCGTGTTTTCATAAAATTCAACCATATTATTCATCACATTTCATTTTGTATTTCTATACGGTAAAGTGAAGGGTTTTGTAGGTGTTATTCAAATTTAGGCCGATGTTTGGCCAATGGCTGACCTTAGATAAAAATTCAGATAAAAAAATACCAGCCTCTTCGGATAATAATTGAGCCTCTTCGAAGGATAATTGAGCTTCTTCGGAGGATAATTGAACCTCTTCGGAGAATAATTCAGCCACAAAGTGGGATTGATAGTATCTCCTTAATATTTATGCCAAATTATAGTACTTTGCACTGTTGTATTTCATACCTTGTCGTTTTTAGTGCCTACTACAAAGTAGTAGACACTATTGTCATCGAGTTGTGAAATTAACTCTGTCACGCGTATAAACTATCAAGTAAATAAACAAAGCCATTTTGTTTCAGTCACACAACAGTTGCACAATATGAATCGGCATAACACAGGTAGCCCAAATTAATCAATATCAATATTAAATATTTAGATCTTTAGATCCACATTTGCATCAAGGAGCCTGCCGATGCTAGTTTTACGTACAGCATGGTTGGTCAGTTTTCTCTTGAGGCCTTGCTGATTCTCCTTACCAAGAACCGCTTCTGTTGATTCTTTCAAGATTTTTCCAATTTCATTCTTACCGAGAGGTCTATTCAGATACCAAACTTTATCCTCTGGTTTTCGTTTGTGGTTGATGGTCWGACAAAAAGGAGCATCAGACATTAACACAGACTCTGATCGATGGCTCCTAAATGCCTTGTAAAACTCAACAGGACATCTCGATTTGTTGACATTGGCATATGCTTTTGGATTGAAAGCTCTTCGGTGCCCTCCTTCTTGGCCTGTTCGTGTCTTGCTACCTTTTTCTGTTTTCCACAACAGACATTTAGCTCCAGTTTCTGGGTCATTTTCAAGGCTCACATCTCCCCAGCTCAACTTCCGGCTCTCATCTCTAGCTCTCCAACCAAAATGTAGGGAAAGGAACCACCACAGAGCCTTTTGCAGTGCCTTTGGTTCTTCAACACTGAACTGCCCGCTCTCAAACAGTGTGTTTACCTCGGTTGCCGTCAGCTCTCTCGTTGCGTTGGGAAGATTGCCTTTTCCTTTGCCAGTGAGATCCTTTCGTTTGGCAGCAATGACGCTTCTGGACCTGGAAAACTCGTTATCCTTGAGCATATTATACGAAGAACCTTTTTCCTGGAGATAACGTTGGAAACGTCTTTGAAATCCAGTAATGCTTCCCGGTTCATACTCGCCGCCATCTTGTTTGCGGATGGAGATGAAAAATTTGCAAAGCAGTGTATTCAGCTCAGGTTCAGGTATGTCTTCCATTTTTCTGCTTTCTCCAATGGATTGACAAAATCTTTGCCAGGCTTTCATGTCACTCTTCGTTTTATACCCTGTGTTTTTGGATTTTTGGTCGTTCAAAATTTTGTTTATCATCTCTTCGTCTTCATCTTGGTTGTTGTTGTTATTGTTGTTGTTGCTGTTTTGCGACTCAAACACTGCTGTCGCATTGGCTAAATCCAAGTCGTCCTCCAGATCTTCAGGGTAATAAAACTCAGGGTTGTCATCCATGCTTAAGTACGACGAATAAAACGGATCTACTTTTTTAGTTTCAATCTCAATGTATCGATTTGGAAAAAAAATGTTTTCGCCGTAAGATTAATATACGATCGGACCGTTTAATACCGGAGAATCTAGACCAGCCCGCGATGCGATCTATCCAATCAGATTGATCGATTTGCTAGTGTCCAGGCTCTAAGATTCACGGTCATATAATAAAAACCTATACTGAAACGTTTACTTTCAATGTTCTTTTCCCCAGCAACACCGCTATTTCAATTACCTATATATCTTTCATATATCTCAATAGTTAGCTACCAACTTCCATTCCTTTCCTGTATAACAGTAATTTCTTGAGCGTCTATTTTTTTCACAAATCTAGTCAGTCTTGTTCTCACGGAATGTACGCTTACCGATAAAATCAAATGTTTGGCAATTTCATGATGGTTGTTTAATGAAACCACATGTAAAGCTGAAAATCCATCTTCTTTAGTAATATCCACTAAACCTGGAAACTTTTCTATCAATAACTTGGCTGCACTGAAAACAAATACAAAAACGGCAAATGTTTTAATGTACAAATGTATGAGGACAGAAAGATATCACATGTAAGATAGAAGAACAAGAATAAACCAATAAATCAATCAATAAACTTTTTTTAAAGAGGGTAACGTATTAACCCAGTGAGTTATCTAACATACGGCCCCTCAGTACCAGTACAGAAATGAGGGCAAAACTGGAAGCTTTTCTCCCTTTCAAATAGAGGTTTTGCACCATCACTTGCTGGCGCCCACAATACATCTCGGACTGCCTGTGGTTAGGTGGCAGAACAATAAAATCCCGCTACTCTTGGGAATTGAATTCTGTCTTATGTAAAACGATTGTATTGTTCCTGCCATCTAACATGATTGCCGTCACGTGATGGTGCAAAACCTCTATTCTAACCCAAATGCACAGAAAGTAAAGTTCAATCTTTTAGATGCCTACCCTCCCCCCCCCCCCCCCCCCCCC